AGGGGGTTGGAACTGGATGGGCCTCTTCCAACCCAAACCATTCTGTGATTTTGTGAAATTCGAGGTTTAATGTCCAGGAGAGTTGTCCCTGCCTTCAACAAGTTCTGCGCCCACTGGCAGGGCAAAGCTTAAAGGTGGTTAGTGTTAATCATAAAATGTAAACACAGTGCTGTCAGGCTGTCAGAGCTCTGTTTTGATTTTTTCCTGATTGTGTAACTTCAGTTGAGGGGCATACTCATGCTCAGCAGGAGAAGTCTGATTTTGGTTGCAGTTTTGCAAGGTTTGGTGTATTTATCCTTGGCATCAGTAAGTTGCCACCATGCATATAGCAAAATGTAACTTTCTGATGTTTCTTTGTTATATAGAATGCTGTGTATTTATTAGAATCTTGTTGGTTTTTTTTTCCCCCATTAACAGACGTTCCACAAACTAATTTCAGACGTTTATCATTTGACCACTGCAGGTAAGACAATCAATTTGCATTATCATTTTAAAATAACTTATCTATTCATTAGGCTGTTGATGTTGTCCTATTACTGAAGCCGTGTTCTTCCAAGGTGGTTTGTTTCACTGACTTGTGCCGGCTATGATAGTAATGCAGCAAGAAAAAATTCCATAAGAATTGCAGTAATATCTATACTTTCCATGATTAGTGTCTGCTGAGATTGGATCTGATGGCTAAAAGAATATACAAGTAATAAAATAATTCAGAACAGTTATCATATATGTTCCAGTCTTGCAAATGTGTGTAATCGGAGCTTGAATCTACTTTTCCCTATTCAGAATATGACTGGTCAATCACTCTTTTTTCTGAGGCAATGATTAGATAGATTGAAGTAATATTTATGCTAATTTTTTGTATTTAGAGTTTACTGCTTGAAGTGTTGGTGTGAAAGAGAATTGTTGGTACAGGTGGGTTAGAAATCCTGTTGTAAATGGAATAGTTCAAGAAGTTACCATCCAAATCTACGAACTACTGGTGCTTTGCCAAGAGCTGGCTGGATTATGGAAGTATCCCTAACGGGATGCTGAGTGTGACTGACAGTTAGTGCATAGCCCATTTCAGTGCAAAGACAGTGTGTCTGCTTGAACTGTCTTTTGTGCTGGTGGGGCCCAACGTGGCAGTGGAAGCAGCTGAGGGAGTACTGCAGCATCCTGTGACTTTGTGCTTGTGAGCGTTGGCAGCTACCAGTTACTGAACTGCAGCATTTCATGAGTTTAATGGATTCTGTTGTTAACCTGATTTATGTTAGACTCGGGTAGTGGGTATTGGCAGCCGCTCGGTATTTTCATTGATACAGGTCTTGTTTTAATGTGCAGGTGAATCAGCAAAGTGTTATTTGCTTCTGTTGTCATAATTTCCAGCTGATTTTGCTAAAAGAATGTGTACTTTTTTCCAGTTTGTCTCTGCAGCCATTCGAATACCCAGTTTGCACACCAGATGGGACAGTCTTTGACATACTGTAAGTTACTCCTTGTACTTAGCTTTATTTCTGTATTGCTGAACTGCTTGGTTACAGCTGTGTAATCAGCATTTGGTCTTAGCAAGTTGGCAAAAATAATCACACCCATCAATAGAGGTTTCTGATGGTGCTTGTCTCTTATTACTTTAACCCTTGTCTTTTCAGGAGCATTGTTCCTTGGATAAAGAAATATGGAACTAATCCAATCACAGGAGAAGTAGGTATTGATGGGTGTATTCACATGATGTGTTTCCTTTTGTTATGTTCAGTTTCCTATTTAATGTGTGGGAGAAACAAAAATGCCTTAGCAAAAGCAGTTGAAGGGGAGTGCTGTTTTGAAGTATGGTAATTGTGAGATCAGCTTTGTTGAAATTAGCATATGGATTTATTAGGAATCTCTTTTTAGCTAAAAAAAAAAAAAAAAGAAGAGACTTTTAGATTTGAGACCTGGTATCCCCTCACTGTCATGCTGCTAATGGTCTTTGTAGTAGAAAATAATCAGCTTCAGATTGTGTATGTGACAAGAGGAGGGTATGATTTTTTTTTTTTGATTTTGGCATAGAATTGTAAATAATATGGTGGAGGAAATGTGCAGTTCATTTATATAAACTTCCAGGGTATCTTGCTTTTCTTACAGGTATGGCATAATTAGAACCTGGATAGATGGAAATACGTGTTCTTTTGTTACTGCTAGTGATGCCCAGAAAGCCTGACTGGTCAGTGATGGAAAACTCAGCTGCCTGCAGCTGCCTCCTATAAGGAGAATTCTAGTCTGTACAGGGCAGGGTGCTCGCAAGGTCACCTCTCCATCTGTGATTAAACCTGCAGTGATGTTTCCTAACCAAAAGGATATTTGGCTCTATGCAGATTAAAGAGATTAACAGATTACATTATAAATGGTAAATTTAAGATGCAGAATTTTTGAGTTATCTTGACAGTATACTTCAGAAAGCTTCTGACCTGCCTCTGTCGTGATAGTTCACTGTGAGACTGGGGTTTTGCGCTATGATCAGTGCCTTGGAGGTTTTTCTCCCTCCTTTTTCTGCATAAATGTTAATTATGAAGGGATAACTGGACATATTTCCTTGTTGGAATTTTTTTTTTTCTGGTGTGTTAAAAGAGAGTGCGCTGTTTGTTAGGGCATAGAGGAAAATTTTAAGCAGAAATTGTTGCTTGAGCTACTGAAACTTGTCTTTTCCTTCGGTGAGCGCAGTTACTTTCCCGAGCATTAGGTGGCAGCCATTGCACAGGATTGCTGGTTGGTTTGCAGATGGCTTTGTGGTACGAGATTACCTCTGAAACATCTTGTGTTTGATTAGAGATCTTCCCAGCAGACAGATATGAGAAGCAGCTCAATACAGATGCAGCATTGCAAACTCTAAACATGAACAGGCTGTCTGAGACTCAATATATTCAGTTATAGCAAACCACAGGTGTGTTTGTGCAATGCAGAGATGATTGAAGGTCTGTTTTCACACATGAAGAGGCCAATGGATTGTTGAGATGGAATGGAATTACAGCTATTTCATTTATTTTTGCCAGCCTCCCACCACCTCCTGCTCTGTGCGTTCACTGAGAGTTTTGGGCTGTTGCCAGATCGATTTTTTTCGCTCAGAGCAGCTCCATGACACCTGTTCTCATTTCAGCCTGTGAACCATGATGGGGTTTAAGATTACTTTGGGTAAATGCTAATCAAGACTCGTAATATGTCTAGTGGTCTTGTGCAATAAAGAGAAGGGGAGGCTGTGCAGAATATACTTAGTGAACCATAAATGCTCAGGTGAAGTCTGACCTCAAGATCTATTAAGTTTATCCAGACTTGTGCTTCGGTAGTTGATCTGCAGTGCGCCTCCAGCTCTCCTCAACATGTGTCCCCTTTTCTTCTGTATCGCTCTGTTTGGGGAGCATTTCTTCCCTTTTATTTAGTGGTGGACTTGTGCTGTACAGCTCTGTTCTCGGAGGATGAAGGCATTCCAGACCACTTGGAAGAAAAAGGAGCTGTTTGCTCTCCAGAGCAGCCTGCAGCCCTGCTGAGTGCAGCCCTGGGGAGCCATACATTGGAGCGTGGAGTTGAAGGAAGTGTTATAATTTAGCCTTTGTTCCCCAGAGGGCCAGGTCTGGCTTTTGGAAGGGCGGGATGGTGCTGGGCAGGAAGGGGTGGGGGTGGTGGGATGAGGCAGGGTAGGTGTCAGGGCAAGGCAGTGCATTGAGCTTGGGCATCTCTCAGGCTGCACTGCCCTCTGATCTGTCCTTGTGTGTGCGCCTTCTGTTACTTGTGCAGCTTGCTCATTGTGGAAACCAGAAAATATTTTCTGCAGTGAGCTGGTGACTTAGGGAAACTTAAGACTCTGGGTTTGTTTAAAAAGGAATTGAGCCAGATTAGCAGTGCCATGTTTTGTACGGTGACTTATGCAGTTACTTTGCACAGATTGGTGATTCGTCATTGGTGATGAGGCTCTGGAGAATTTCTGCATTTTTTTGTCTGAAGTTAAAAATGATAATGAAATCCTTTGTGGCTTGTACTTCTGTTGTTATGGTTTGCTACAGGCCAAATGTTTTCGAGAAGTCAATAGGTTACTTGGAAATGGCGTTGTTAATGGTGCACTCCTGGTACTCACTAATTCTGTCTAGCTGTCTTATTTCTGAAGAAGTGGACCCCTCAGTGGAGAACTGGAGAGCCTTGCAATCATTAAAACATTTATCTTTGCAGTGCTCCCAGGAGGCAGGACTGTGCTAGTCTTTTATTAATTAGATGTTTGTGAACTGATCTACAAGTGACTTCTCTGATTCTTTCGAGTCCTGAACTATTGGACTAGCCTTCCTCTTGAAAGAAATTCTGCAATGTCAAGATCACAGTTATTCTTTCATATGTTTAAAATATTTAAAATTTTTTTTGCTTACCTTCGCTATACTTCATCATGCTTTACGGTGTATTTTTTCTTGCTTTTCCAAACATTCTCCTGAGGTGCAGTATGGACAGTAATATCCATTTAGGAGAAACAAATCGCCGTCGAGTATTGTCTAGAGTTTCCAGAAAGTGACTTTAGATATCTATTCTTTTTTCCCCTTTTTAATAACATATTGTAGTAAAAATACTTCTATTGCTACACCAGTAATTTTGGAAGAAACAGCGCATCTCTTGCAGCTGAACTGCATCTTGTCAGATGGCATTGGCTCACTTTTTTTGTCAGCTTTGTCAGGACACTGCCCTAGCTTATGTTTACACTAAAATTGCACAAAATAAAGAGGAGAGTCATCGTTAGCTCATTCCTTTTTACTGAGAACAGCACTTTGGCTTCTTGGGCTTGCAGATAGTTGCAAGCTTGCCAGAACGTTCCACGTAGCGGCGATACGACAGCAGTGAGCAGCATGCCCACACAAGCCAGCCAGCTGGGCTCAGGAGTACCTGCTTCCAAGAAGTGAGATTGGTCAGAGCGTGTCTGGTTTGTTGGAATCTCAAATATGAACAGATGATAGATCAGCGTGCCTTTTGACAGGAATTTCAAGGAAATTGTTGCATGGATATGTAATATGTGGGCTGAGCTATTTTTCTCCTTTGCATTGTGGTGTTTCTGCTGTCAATACCTATTTTTCCACTCTGGTTCAATGACATTCTGACTGCATGTGGGCAGGCCAGGTTGTTGTGGTTGTAACACAGCCCCGTTCAAGGCTCCATAGCCTTGGGCAAATCTCTCTCTTCATCTGTATCAGAAGTAGCTGAGGTCTTTGTCCCTTCTTCCCCCTTTCCTGTGGGAATTTAGTTCTTTTGGACAGTTGAAAGTCATTTCATCTTTGGCGTTTGCTTCTAAGTCCTTGGTCCAAAGTCAATTTTGTGTCTGTTTTAAGTGCATCTACTTTTAAAGTCATACAGAGGGCTCAGCTATGTAAATTCTTTCTGCACTGCTCAGAGCAAACTAAAATCCATGTGTCTGCTGATCCTGCATAACCCAGAAAAGCAATCCTCGTGTCAAGGGCCATGTGCAGCTGTGTGGTTGTTGCATATGTATGTCTTGAAGGGCAAACAGGATTCAGTCGAGTTAATTTAGCTTGGGCTTAACATGTGCCTAAGAGTCAGGCTGAGAGACCTGAAGATGCTGCGTGGTGGATGTTTAAGACTAGGGGTCACATTTCTGGTCTGAATGAGGCAGGGCACAATTAGTGTTGTGCCCTGTCTTAGGGAAGGTTAGGATCCAGACCTACAGCCCAGAGAGAGCTTTTTTCTTAAATGTCACAAGGTTTTAGCTTCTCACTAGGTTAAACAGGAAAACTGAGGATTTTTTTTTTTAGTGTTGGGAAAGCTTTTTGCTTGGGCTGCCTCTGAGGATAACCATAAAAAGGAGTCTGGGGCATTTAGAAAAGTAGTAGAAGGCAGAGCCACTGATGTGGAAAATGAGGGCTAACTTTGGAGTAGGAAGGCTGAAGAATCTCTGACTTTTCCCAGTAAGACATCTGCCTTCTTAAAAGAGAGGGCTGTACCCAAAGTTTTGCTCTGTGTACAAGATAAATATTTGCTATTGTTCTCCCACACTCTTAATCCTGTATTTACCAAATAAAGATGACTTCAAGTGAGATTATGACTAATACGCTCCAATAATTGCAGCAGTACAGGTGCCTGCCTCACGCAGTAAGCCTGGCTGAGCCACACTTTGAAGGCAGCCAGAGACGCACATCTTGTACCTGCGATGCCCTGCGGCAGTGACAGAGCCTGTAGCAGCCACGTCCTCGCTCCAGCACTGCTCACGTAGGAACATCTAAGATACTATGATAAGCAGGTTTTCTTTTAATCGCTTGTTTGGAGTAAGGTTGGTAGGATGATGCTTGGCTGAATAATTACAGGCACTTCCAAAATAATAGCTTCTTACCCTCTGCAGAAAAAATTGCAACCAAGTCTGTTATTTCAAAACTTTGGAAAAGTCCTTTTCAATTGCATTCCTTAAATATGTTTATTAGCTAATTCTTTTCCCAAGTGCTGGTGGCTGTTGTTACTTCATTTTGTGTGAAAGCGTGGTTTCTTTTCAATCTGATGAACTAGATTTCAGTCAATCTTACAGAAATCAGTTGTTGGTCTTGAGGTGAGAGGAACCTGCTGGCCAGGTTAGTGGAGAGGATACGGAGATGACTTTTTTTACCTCTGAATGTATTAATCCCACTTGAAAAATAAACAAACAACTTTACAGCACTTATTTTTTATGCACTAAAAAAGTTTTTGGCTGTCTA